TTCTTTCTCTTTTTCATGTTATGATGTGCTCTTCAGCTAATGTTGCATGAGTAAAGGAGGTTGGTTGCTGTATTACTGTATGATAGTTGATCCTATGTCCTTTTTATCTAGAGAAAGAAATTGATTTCCTTGTCTCTTCTTAGTTGTTTTGATGTTCAACTTCTTGGAGAAGATTTTATTCTTGGGACCAAACTGTGTGCCATGCTATAAGATAGTGCAAATCATTAATGTTAGGTATATGGTGTTGTATGGTGACTGATGTTGGACAGGCTCACTATTGCGCAAATATGTTTGGTAGATGCCCCAAAGTGAAGGATATATTCTTGTTTTTGCTGTAGTATATATTTTCTTTCCTTGGATATGTATAAATGGATTTGAACCCTACAAGCATACTTGTGTCGAATATGCTTAGTATGGTATCAGGTGGAAATCTATCAAATATATATGCCACTATTAGTATTATATCTTTAGTTAGGGTGCTAGTAATTGATGGTTTGGTATTATACTAATGAAGTCTGTTATGCAAACATTTGTTCTCAGTTTCAATATGCATTCACCAAGCTTGTACGTACAATTTGCGTAGGTTAATAATGTAGACTAAGAAACTTAAGTGTTGTTCTATTTCTAGTGGTTAGATGCATGTATTCTATGTAGTGCTGTGTTTATTTTCGCAGAATCATTCTTTGTATATCCTTGCCCATTGCATTAGTTCAGTTTTGATCCACTTGGAGGTCATTGTGCTGTTTCTTAACTTGGTCCTACTTATTTCAGTCTTTTTCTGTCTTTAATAAAACCTTGAACTTTTTGCATTTTACTTCTAAATGGTTGGTTGATTGGCATTTCAGGCGTGACCAAATTATTATTTTTTCATTATGCTGAGTCAATGAAGCTTTATATACAAAATTACATAATTCTTATGGTTTTCTTAGTCGAAACTGAAACGTTAATCTAAATATATAAGGTCCACCATGTTACCGTCAGGGGCATGTAATCTGTAAAATCATTACATTTCGTTACACTGTCAAATGCTTTTTCTGGTAATAAGCTTTTGTTTCAGATATTTCAATTATTAATGCAATAGTAGCTCTGATTAGCAGGAATCTTGTTTGATCTTTGTTATTGTGTATACTATTGGAGCCATTCCTAGCCTTTATGTGCTTATCTCATTTTTTTTCAAATAATAATCTTGTATAATGATTTATATTGGCTTAGGTTGGAGAGCACGACTCTGTCATTATCATGACACATGAACCGAATTGGCTTCTTGATTGGTACTTTAATGACGTTTCTGGAAATAATGTCAAGCACTTGATATGTGATTATTTGAAAGGAAGGTGTAAGCTTCGGATGGCTGGGGACTTGCATCATTATATGCGTCATTCATATGTTCAATCTGATGGGCCTGTCCATGTGCAACATCTACTTGTGAATGGTTGTGGTGGGGCGTTTTTGCATCCCACCCATGCCTTCAGTAGCTTTAGCGAATATTATGGGACTAAATATGAAAGCAAGGCTGCTTATCCTTCTTTTGAAGATTCTAACAGGGTAAACTTCAAAATTTAAAATTCTGCATCTCTACTCCGTGTTTTTCTTTTTCTTTTTTTGCTGGAATATTTCTTTTTTAAGTTGATGCAGATTGCATTGGGGAATATTTTGAAGTTCCGAAAGAAGAACTGGCAATTTGATTTCATTGGTGGCATTATATACTTTTTGTTGGCTTTTTCTATGTTTCCACAAGTAAGTTTCTTTTTAGTTCTTAAGGTTCTGATTATTGCTACTTATGCATTAGGTATTTTTGGACTCTGATAGCCATATGATGAGGATTTCATTTATCTTTTGCTGCTTTTACTCTTTTTTTTTTTTAACTTTCTAGTTGAAATAGCTTGCACTTTAACAAGGAGATACCTTTGAGGAGATGAATCACTTCCTTACTATTTTACCTTCATATGGTCAACAAACATATTTGCTTTCCCAGCAATATACATATTATGTTGCTGAGACATGACTGAACTTTTTTTCCTCCATTTCTAGTGTAAACTCGATCCCATCTTGCAAGATGATTCATTTTCTGGCCACTTGAGGAGTTTCTTTGGCGCCGTTTGGAATGCTTTTGTGTACGTGCTGGAACACTCTTATGTATCCTTGGCAGGTACTTTGCTGCTGCTAATTGCAGCAATTTCATTTGTCCCGTCGAAAGCATCTCGGAAGAGGCGGGTGATAATTGGAATGCTACATGTTTCTGCACATCTGACTGCAGCAATAGTTTTGATGTTGCTCTTGGAACTGGGTGTGGAGACTTGCATTCGTCATAACCTGCTAGCTACTTCAGGTGAGTTCTTAATTTTGGTCCTTGTATATTTATGTTTTGTTTGGATGTTTCTGGTATTTTTATTATTCATTAGAATTCAGAAGCTGTAATGTAGTAGTTCTTTTCTATTACTTTATGTTTATGTGAGTTTTTTCTTGTAAACTTTTTTTCTAATAAGAAGTGTACTGTTATTTTATTTTTCTTTCTGTCCTTTTTTATCTAGCTTTTCCAATTTGTATTGCTAACATTACCAAAATCATTAAATTGTTGTCTGCTTTTGGATGAGATGAAGTATTTGATGTTCAAATCAAGATTAATAACACTATTGCACATGACATCAGAAAATGAAGCTTCTGAGACAAGGACAGCTAGTTATATTTAAGTACTTAAGCTTTAATTGTTATTTCTTACACTGAAGGTTGAACTCTGCTGTAATAAAGTGGGAGTCTTGATAGTTATTGTGAATGGTACTGGTCGTAAATATTTGAGGTACTTGCTGCCACCAGGTTGTGTAGGTCATACTTTTTTCTTGTTATCCTGAGAGGAGTATGCTTCATCCAAAATTTGATCGACTGATTTCGTTATTGAGTACAGGCTATTTACTGATTTTGTTTGGTTCAGGTTACCATACTTTATACCAATGGTACCAATCAGTGGAAAATGAGCACTTTCCGGATCCTACTGGCCTTCGCGCTCGTATAGAACAATGGACCTTTGGCCTTTATCCAGCGTGTATCAAGTATCTTATGTCTGCATTTGACATTCCGGAGGTGAGGAATCTCTATTTGTTCCAGACATGGATTTTTCTTCATTTGTCTCAGCATATTCATGGGATAAATATTGTTAGGTCATGGCCGTAACCCGGAGCAATATTTGCAAGAATGGGATGGAGTCACTCTCTCGAGGAGGTGCTGTCATATATTATTCTTCTGTCTTTCTGTCTTTCTGGGTCTTCTCAACACCTGTGGTTTCATTAGTGTTTGGAAGCTACTTATACATCTGCATTAACTGGCTTAACATACACTTTGATGAAGCTTTCTCTTCTCTCCGAATTGCTAATTACAAGTCATTCACTCGATTTCATATCAATCGTGATGGAGATCTTGAAGTTTACACTCTTGCAATTGATAAGGTAAGAAATCTGAGCTTCAGATCGCCTTCCGGTTGCAACTATTGAGCAATTTGAATACAATTATTTTTTCTTGGATCATTTAAGATGCTGTTAGTTCCTTTTTATTTATTTATTATTATTTTTTTTTTTTTATGTTATTAGTTTCTACCTTCAATTTGTTCTAAATATTGATTGCTGTCAGTTTAAGTACTTTGATTTCTGAACACCATACATCTCTTACACTGGTAGGAAAAGCGTCAAGTAACTAGTGACCTATTTAGTAAAGTTTTAATTTCCGTGGTTTTTGATTGAGGATCTTCTTGCTTTTAGTTGTTTAAATCCTGTGTTTGAGAACTCTTAATTATCCAGTAGTTCATTGGTAAACTGCAAATTCATTGTCTGTAGTTGAAGCATAGGGTTTGTATCTACAGATTATTAACATGGTTAAACACGCAGGTTCCCAAGGAATGGAAGCTGGATCCTGAGTGGGATGGAGAGCCAAAACCACAGCAGTTGAGCCATCTCAGAGAATTTCCTAGCAAATGGAGTGCGGCCATCCCACACCAGGACCCGATTAATACTGTTAAGATTATTGATCAGTTTGTTATTCGACAAACAGAAAAACCTGATTTCACAGCAAGTAATGGATCAGTTAGTTGCTGATCTTCTCAACTTGTAACATTATTGTAGTTATTACGATTTAGAAAGCAATTAAAGGAAAAGAAAAAAAGAAAGCTCTTTCTTAAAGATGTGCCTAGTTTCCTTAGATGTCAACTGGTTTGGTGTTTTTTTTGGGCAAAGCTTGTGATTTACAGAAACCACAATTTTTGCGAAGTCTGGTTTGGTGTTTTTTTGGGCAAAGCTTGTGATTTACAGAAACCACAATTTTTGCGAAGCATATTAGTTTTGGTTTAACTCAGATTTGAGCTTATTGAAACATCAGAAACAATTGTTTTGCGATGAGTCCGCCCAGGTTTCAACCATGCCGTTGTCCAGAAGATGACNCTGATCTTCTCAACTTGTAACATTATTGTAGTTATTACGATTTAGAAAGCAATTAAAGGAAAAGAAAAAAAGAAAGCTCTTTCTTAAAGACGTGCCTAGTTTCCTCAGATGTCAACTGGTTTGGTGTTTTTTTGGGCAAAGCTTGTGATTTACAGAAACCACAATTTTTGCGAAGTCTGGTTTGGTGTTTTTTTGGGCAAAGCTTGTGATTTACAGAAACCACAATTTTTGCGAAGCATATTAGTTTTGGTTTAACTCAGATTTGAGCTTATTGAAACATCAGAAACAATTGTTTTGCGATGAGTCCGCCCAGGTTTCAACCATGCCGTTGTCCAGAAGATTAACGGGGAATTCCCATCATATTGGGAAATGGGAACGCAGTAGGAAGTGTAATACGATAGGAACCATATTTAACAATTATTTCATTTTTCAGAAAACACAAGTCCAATTTAAACAAAGCAAAGCGTTGTTTGCTGTTGTCATATTAATGGCATGAATAACTGTAAAGCCAATTGATCAATACAAATACATGTGCCGATAAGCACATGAAAAACAGGGCGTACAAATTTATTTAATTATGCCCACCAACAGAATGCTTAAAACGAAGAATAAAAGAAAATGAATCAACTAAAGGCCTATTAAATTTAACTTCGTGGGTGTTACGTTATTTACAAATCCAAAAACTGTATATCTAATAATCTGAATGGAGGAATTGCTCGTATGATGTTCCTTTGAGTGCTTGAAGGACATCACTCCAGTTCTCAACTTGTTCTGATAACGGCCCACCGTGGATCTTAACCTGACGACTGGTAAGCTCTCTGTATGGCAACCTTAGAAATTCTTGAACGTCTTTGAGTTTCTGCGATTTTCAATATTTTCTTTCGTTAAGATTGAAGAAATCCCTAAACAAAAATTTTCCAAAGTTAAAAAAGTGGCAAGTTCTTACATTTGGGTGGCTGATAAGATCCTCGTAGTAAAGAACAATGTGGCGAGTTGTCCTCAAATATTCAATAGCTTTGGCTGTAGTCTGCTCTACTTGCTCTAGTTGGGGTACAAGTAGGGTAGCATTTATTCTTGGCTTGTATTTAGCGAGAATCTCTGCCTGCAATATTCCATTATCAAAGTATGAGTATGAGATGCCAATTGATAAGCATAACAAAAGAGATCGAGACAGACCTCTGCTGGTGAATGAACATGGGACTTGTGGGTTCCACTGAGTAGCTTAGCATTTCTGTCATAAGAATTTGCAAGTACAGATATCATTCTGCGCACCAAATTTCTTCTCAACAGGAATATCACATAAACTCCTTTTTCATTGAAGTAGTCTACTATATCCTCGTGATAATCCATCAATCCCTGCAAAATATGCATCAACAAGAACCTGATTTATGTTTTCATACTTCTTCCATTCAACTACATAACATCTGTAATAACGAAAAACACAAACTTTTCTATCTTCTAAATATAATGCAGCCAAATTTCAATAAGCAACTCACCTGATTAAGCATCCATTTGAACCCTACGGCACCAGAGCACTCGTTTTTTGATGCACTAGAGAACCAGTCAAGATTATATACTTTATCCATTGTCCTTATAATTGAAGAAACATTAATTCTCCTATCCTTAACTGAAAATATTTCTCCGTTCGAGCTTACGTTGATATGACTATTTAACAATGTCTCAAACCATCCACTTCCAGATCGCTGCATTGACAAGATGGCAAAGTACTGTACAGGATTACATGCGCATTCCTCTCTACTCTCATATAAAAAAAAAAAAAAAAATATTCATCTTTGATAATAAGCAAATGAGTTAAACAAATAAACGATTAGACAAGGGCAATACATATCCAGGTACCTGCTAAATGTTACAGGATTCGGATAATGTACAAAGGGGATTTCCCATTGTTCAATGTTGTCAGCTTGACATGACTGGTCAATGACTTTGATGTTCAATAGTTTGGTTTTGGTGTGTGTTATTTGCTTTAAGCAGATTGAACAAATATAGATTCCACAAACCATCGCAAAAATTAAGAGCACCTTCCTCAATACTAATGGAGATTTCTTAGGAGTCTTTATAACCAATGCATCCTGTAATTCAAACATTATCCTGGAGTTATTTTATTGATGTAGATGCCTATGAGAAGACGATGATAAATTAGTACAGATAGGGTGGCACTACCAGCAACATGTGGAACACATAACCAGAAAAGACTACTAGTGAAGACAATATATATATTTAGTCTTTGCTTCCATTTAAAGTCTCCATGAACGAATCAAACCAGACAAAAAATAAATCTAAGCGAGAATGTTGAGTTCCATTATATACTGAGAAAAAAAAAAAAAAATTAAGGGCGAACTTGCAAAAGTAAGATTTTGAAAGCATGCATGTTACGAGTATAGGAAAAGAAAAACTGAGATTCTAGTACCAGCTTCAGGTATCAAGTAGGAAGTGGTCCAAGTCACAAAAGCATAGCTCTCTGTTAATCCTAATCCTAAAATAAAAGATAAACCAAAAGAACTTCAGAGGACCCAGATTTTTGTTTCAGCGGTAAAACCTGAGAAAGTCTCTAAACGGGTAGGCAAACGAGGAAACACTGTGCGAGTACATTTTCAAAAGAAAGTCGAATAGAAAGCTCAACGCACCTTGTTGAGGTAACAGATATCTTCAGCCATCCTTGGAGAAGATTGAAAGAAGAAAACAGTTTAGTCTTCAGCCTCCTCTTTTTTTCTCTCTTCTCTACTAGTATGTATTATATTCTAGTTGTCTGAAGTGAGAGATAAGAAAAGAGTTGTTTAATTATTCAGAGTTGGAGCTTTTCCTCGTGAAGAACGATATTAATACACCTCCTGAACCTCCACGCTCTCCTACGTTTTTTATATCCCTGGACTTGAGTTTCCATTTTCCAAAAGTATTATCTTTATTTCCTCTTTCCAGACATTTGTGATATTCCGATTCAATCACTTAAGTTAAAAAAAAAAAGCTTAAAAAAGTCAAAAAACAAGGAAGCCACGGCTTATCACTTTAGTCATTCACTAAGAGGAACACTGTTTCTTGCCATCCCTCTTAAATAAAAAGACTTTGGTTCTTTGTTGAGCTGTATAATTTAATTTTTTATGGCTGGATCATTCTGATAAAATTCGAACTATGTTATAATTGTTGTAACAAGTTATGGGATCTATAGTTGGAATGATTTATTTATTAAAGGATTTGTATCTTAATTAACAGGCTCTCGGGTTTATAATCGGCCAATTTAATTAAAGGGGAGCATAGTTTCGTAATGGTAAAAACAATGTTGCATTTTTAGAATGAAGTGAAAAAGATAAAAACAATGGACAAAAGAAGGCCGCTGAAACATAAAGATGAGAACAGTTTGTAATTGTGGAGACGCGCATTTCACTGTTTAGTCCAAGGGTTTTATTATAATTTGATAATTTCATTGTTTTTGTTTGACTTGACCGTTTTCAGAGTGAACTTCCACTTTAATTTGATCAGGATAGAACAGGTGGGAATCAAGGTCAAATCCACTGATAATTTCTACTCTTTAAGCTCATCTTCCCGTGGAATAAAAAATCTTCCACCATTAGTATTAAACTCAAACTGACAGGAAAATGGGACAAAACATGCAATTTAAAACATGTAAAATCAAAGGATTTCACTGTGCTGGCCTAATGATGCTCAAGGGTCACAAAGAGTTGTGCCAACAGAAAATCACATATGCCCCAGAGAATATAAAACCAAACCTCAGCTGATTTTTTTTCAAGGGTTAGAGATATATTCTATATTATATTTGTAACAGAGTGAAATATTCCCAACTTCTCCTGCTGAGAACCCTACAAGAGAATATGAAGTCACTAAAAGATAACATTGGTTTTGTTCTCTGAGCAGAGTCACTGTTCTTTCTACAGGTTCATCTATGGTCTTCACTAGTCAATATATAGGCCACCATGGGATGCTCCTGAGCTAGTCCAAAGGTTGAATACGATGTCTGCTAGTGAGAAGAAGAAAGAAAAACAAACAGCCACTCGTCAGCTCTTAAATGAAACAAGGGAAAGAGGGTCACGAAAAAAAAAAAAGTTGACATTTTAGCAATAGAAATGGAGATTTTTGGCAGGGTTGAAATTTCAATTACCAAAAAAAATACCACAATCCACCATATAATCGGCTTCCCATTTTTCTGAATCTATGTATGATTGGTTGACTATAAAACTAAAAGGCTTTAAAAAAAATTGAAGCTCTAGTTCATACTTTTGGAGTTGCTCTATATCACTACTAATATATCTGACTTCCTAAACACAGCAAACTTTGTAAGATAAAAGAGTAAACCAAACATTAGAATGATATGCATAAACTTCTGAAACAAATGATAATGACAAAAATAAAAAAATAAAAAATGAAAGAAGAGCCTTACCAATAACAAACTTCCAAAGTTATTCAATTTGAAATGGTATTCATTATAAAATAATCAAGCGAACTATCTGCCCCAAAAACTTGAAAGACTTGGCTGCTTCTTTTAAGCATTTATGTTTCTCATCTCGAGGCCAGTGCTGCATTGACAGTAACACACAAATTCTAACAAATGAGTATCAAGAAATGACACAACAAAAGTTAAAGCAACCCAATTATGCATGGATGACTTGAGCAGCACCTCTCCAAGCATGTTGAGATTCTTACGCACACCTTTCAAAATTTCCTGTGGATCCCCCTCCCATCTGTAGAACTCCATCTCTCTTCCCTCCAGGATCTTCTCAGAAACCTTAAGATAATAACCAACAAAGAGTTAATTAATATGATACGTCCACATAAGAAATTTCTCACATCTCCACTCTCCTCTATCACAAGGAAGCAAGACTCTAGGATATCAGAATAAACAATCATGCTCAGAACAGATGATTAGGCAAAGTGTAATAAGCAGACATGGGCAGAAGTGTCATGTTCTGATATAAAGATGGGGTGTCCGGCACTGCAACCTTAAAATACTAGGCATGGAAACATGTTTACATACATGTGTGTGCATATATGAATTTAAAAACATTAATGTATGATAAGCTATGAACCAGTACTTGTTTCCTTGGCAAGACTATAAAACAAATATTAAAAATAGAATGTAACCAATTAACTTAATGATAATACATAGCACCCTCGTAATTCTACTAAAAATTAAAAAAGTTACAAGAAAGTGAATTCCTAAATACCTGTGAATGTAAGAATAATGTTAGATACACAGGACAATCATATCCTTAAGTGTTTGATACATCTATTTTTCAATAGAATAACTGACCTATAATTCTATAAATCATAGGTCAAAAGGGATCAATCATAAATAAAGCAGTAGATCCCAATGTGGAAGAAATACCCAAACACAATACACATACTTGCTCTCTCCTAAACAACCCCCCACCCCCCCACAACACACAAACACAAATACCCCTATTAGAAAATCAGAGTTTTAGCTTCTTCTTTTGGTCCCTAAATTCTTTGCCTTCTATTCATATGACCACTTAGATTGCGAAGTTTAAAGAATCCCAGCTTCAAGGGTCAATGCACACCTGTCTTGCAATCACTTCACCACCAGCTATATGCGAAAAGTATATATTGTAGAAATGGGACAAGAACAATGGGGCACTTCTCTCAGCAAGTTCCTCCAAATACTTGGCATATGAAACTCCTGAAGTGCTAGCATCTGGAATTACAATATCCTGTTCCCTAAACCATTCCAAATCTTTTGCAAGACCTTCTGATCGTTCCAATCCTGTATTTCTGAAATAAGCATCTGTAATAAAATTAAACATCAATAGACAAGCAAGAGATATAATTCATTTGGTTGCAGAATCTATGGGAACACCCAAATAATTGAGTAAATGTATGCCTAAACACTCAACTTTGATTTGTTCCCGAATTCCTTTTGTAATTATGTATGATTAATGAGCTAGAATTAGCTCCATTATCCAATGCTTTTCAAGAAAAAGCAGCAATTGAGCCCTTTTGTTGCAGTATTGCATCAAAATTAATCCATTTTCAATATATGTAAAGGTTACAATTCTTTACTTTTATACATTTAAGCAGCACAAGGCATTTAAAAAATATAAATACTCAAAATATGAAAATGAACAAAAACATATAACTAAAAATGGTGAAGGTAGAAGACTAACAAGCCACATCATTGGATTCATCCACAATGCGCTCCACTGTGTTGAACACAAGTTGACTATCGACCAAGAACTTAACAAACCCTTCCATGCTCGGTTTCCAAATCTCTCCATCATCTAAAGATTCCTTCGATTTTTCTTGTTTTAGGTCGTCGTTTGATGAATCTTGGGAATCCTCACGATCACTGCCACTATTAACAGAAGAAGAAGGGTACTTTTTACCATTTAAGTTACGGAGTTTCATGGCCACAAATCTCATCTCTTCAGTTATACCTATGCTCTCTCCTGGGTACTGCTTTCTGTACCTTACTCTTTTTTTAATCACTGGTGGAGCCGTATTTGTGGAAGTTGATGTTGAAATCACAGCTGTTGAATTGGTTGTTGATGTAGTAGTAGTGGGTTCAGAGCAGCACAAAATTAGGGGTGATGAAATGTTTCTCTTGTTTTTTCTTGGAACGGTCAACCTCAACTTTGATTGAGATGGAAATGAGAGACGATAAGACATAGAAAATGAAGGATGTACAAGAGACTGTTGCAATAACGTTACTTTACATGAGCATGACCACGAAGACGACATGCTTGCTACTCTGCTCAGTGCTTCACTGCTTTTACATTCACAACATTTCTGCAAGATGTGAGGCTTATCCTTTCTTTCTTCCTGGACTAATATACGTTGCTAATGGGCTGACAATGCATAGCCCATAGGCTGAATTCAATTTTTGAGCCCATTATTTGGACCAGTATATGTTGCTACAGGCTAGAAACACTTGGACCATGGGCTGAATTTTATTTGTCAGCCCATATTATGAGTCTCCGTTTGTGTTGGATAGTGTAATGCTAATTGTTGTCTTGGAAAAATTATTTAATGAAAAAGAGAAAGATTAAAATATATATATATATATATATAACAAATGTAATTTGTATACAATAAATTATAAACAAAAATTAGATATTATTTAAAACTTTAGTAAAGAATAATTACAACACGACCTTAGAGTTAATGTGGAGTTCAAATAACACTAACACCATGTCAATGAAATTCGAATAATCAACACAAAAATTATTGCAGTCACATGTCCAACGGTCCAAGTCCAATATTTCTCAATGAATTGTGATTGAGGGGTTAAAAAAAAAAAAAAAAGAGCAAGTCATTGACAATCAGCAAGTGTATGCTCATCTCTTTTTCTCTTGAAAAGTTTGTACAACATTTAGAAACCTAATTTACAGGTTTTATATACGGAGCTGAGTAAATAGGGGTTAAAAGAATAAGGGGAATGATGTACAAGTTATGGTGAAGAATACAATTTACAGCAAGCTACCTAAACTGGTTCGTTAACAGGTTGACTCCAGAGCAACAAAATCTGTTCCTAATAACCACTTGAGTCACAGCACAGCTCCAAAACTATACTCTAGTAAGATTATCATAAAAAAATACAAAACAAGAGTGTCGAGAAGCATCTTCATGTATGGTGGGATTTCAGCTTATGCAAGAATTCTAAAATTTTTACATAGGAAGGATCCGTCCGACCTAGTGGTTTGCACGAATTTATATGATCTGTCGACTCTAATACCTGTTTCAACAAAACAACAAAATTAAGGGAAAACAATTCTGAACAAGATCTTTTTTTAACACTTCCAATCGTAAACCATGTCATTCTCATAATCGGCAATGTTTGAAGCCAAGTTACTGAATCAAACACATGTAACCTGAACTCATGGGGTAAATTATTACTGCCAATGATCACCCTGAAATAAGTAGAAGGGTCCTTCCGCGTGTATGCAGCCTATAAACCTTTTTTCATTATACAGATATGAGTTCATCAATGCTATAATAAAATAAATTAAATTACATTAACATCTTAAAGTCTTCCATCTACCACAGAAAAAAAAATCAGTTTACATACTTGGTAAAAGAAAAAAAAAAAAAAATTGTAAATGCCCCACAAGAAACCTACCGAGAAGAAATTGGATCCTACAGTTTTTTGATAATTTTGTCTACCAAGCTACCATTAAATCTAACGACCTAATGATCTAGGCTCTGGGAATTTTTTTTTCTCAGAGCACAATGTTATTCACTACTCCTAGTTAACCATCTGAACTCAAAAACATGAATCACTCTGCTAAAAGAATATGGCTATATAAGTGTCAGAACACATTATTTGTGTCATAAGCATATGCATACATGAGAAGGGATCGGCACTCTATATTTTTTTCTCCACAACCCAAGATGGAAGCCAATTAGATGTTGGCAAGCATCCCCTGCCAACTGGCTGTTTAATACTAGCATTTTAATCACGACCTATCTGTAGAGACACTTGATAATCTTGATCTATGAATGTGAGCTCAATATTTATGTTATTATAAAAATGCATCCACCTATTTCAGAGAAATGAGCCTGTTTGATTTGTGATCCAAAAATAATTTTCAAAAACTAAAATATGATTCAAATTTGAGTTGTATCTTAATATTCTTAAAATTTCAAAATGTGTTTGACATAATATTCAAAAATTATTTTCAGATAAAAAACTAAAGAAAACTGTGAAAACGACTTTTAATCATTTTCTAATTTTACACTAATTTTTAGGATTGTATCCAAAATCCATTTTAAAAACAGTTCGATTCATTTTCTACCAAACATATTTTCATAAGATTTGTTGTATCCCTTGTTCTTTAAAACAGAAAACTGTATTTAAATTCTATATCAAACAGAAGAAATTCTTAAATCACTTACAACAAGTTCTCCAAATCCAGGATATGCTGATTCAATAGGTACGATTTCCATACGGAAGGCCCATCCTCCATAACCTTCAACAATTGGAGTAACCTTGGTCTGCAAAATTGTAAGTACAAGACTATGAAGCTCGCAAAGGAAAACAAAAAAAATGCTGGCATCTGTGTGCATGCAGCGAGAGAGAAATTTCAGCTATAAAAGAATGCAGATCTGTTACCTCACAAAAACTAAGGACTTCAAGCATCCCTTTCTTATGCAGTTGACGAATATAGTCATTAAGCTCTATTAATCTTGGAGAACCACTTCTTAATTCCACTATCTAATAAAAACAACCACCCAATGAAAATAACATCAATTTGTGTACATAAATTACTTTAACAAATACTATGGAACCGACAACTCAGAATTAATGAAGAAGATTTGATCATGAACTGACAGTTGGAGCTGGGCGAAGCACAAGGCCCATTCGCCAAGGCATGTCTGCAAGTTTGCTTCCAAAATGTGGGCAGCTGTAAAACACCTGTAATCATGGTGAACACCAACATAATAAATTAAACAGAGAAAATTTGTAGAGAACAATGTTAAGTTTCTAATTATTCAGTGAAGAAGTATACAATTCCAGCGGTGTTTTTCACAAGATTATCAATATTTTCTGCTCTTGCTTTATGCAACATCTGCTTGACAACCAGACCACCCATGCTGCAAGAAAGCACGAGTCATTATGTGGTATAAGGAATCTATGCATAAACGAAACAAGTAAAATCTATGACAAAGTATCAAAATGTTTTACAAAATATAGTTTAAAAGTACCCATGTTTCAGTTTTGGTACAAAAAAACTCTATAAGGATTACCCACTATAAAAATGCCAGAAAAGTAAATTGCTCAAAAACATTTATGAACTACCACATGGACTTGTTACAAACAAGAATTTCCGTCAAAATAGTAAAGATCAAGTAAATATGTAAGTGTGGCAAACCTGTGTGTCACAAACACAACCGGGCGGCTCCCTATACCCGCAGCAACAAGCTTCTCCAGCAGCATGGTGCTGACTTCCTGCACATTTTAAGCATGTTTAAAGACTAATGTTGGAACTGCTAATATACAAAGGAAAATTTCTTATTGAAGAAATGCAGCAACATTTAGTAATACAGATAGAAATGAAATAAGATTTCCAAAGCATATCTGAGAAACATTGATGGCTTTATTTAACATAAACTATGATCAACCTAGCTTGGAGAAGAATTGGATTTGGAAAAAACAGCTATTGTTAACTGTTAGAAACTATGTATATATATAGTGTAAAGGGTATATTTGTAATTGTTGAGTGTGCGTATATATTTGAGTTAGGTTGTACTGTTGAGACAAGTGAAATATAGAAGATAACATGGTATCAGAGCTCTGTTGGTTGCTAAAGGTTATGCCCAGACGTATGGTATTGATTATTCTGAGACATTCTCCCCAGTGGCTAAAATGACCTCTGTCCGACTATTCATCTCTCTTGCAGCTTCATATTGTTGGTCTCTTCACTAACTTGATGTAAAAAATGCCTTTTTACATGGTGATCTTCTTGAAGAGGTTTACATGGAGCAATCTCCATAGGCGTGGTTTGGGAGGTTTAGCGAAGTGGTGACTCAGTCTGGTTTACATAGGAGTGCTTATGATCACTCTGTCTTTTATAAGCAATCTAGTTCTGGCATCATTCTTTTGGTTGTTTATGTTGATGACATTGTAATCACTGGCAATGATGATGCTGGCATTCAGAGTTTGAAAAACTTTTTGGCTTCCAAATTTCACACAAAAGACTTGGGCACTTTAAGGTATTTTCTGGGAGTCGAGGTTTCTCGGAGTAAGAAAGGGATTTTTCTCTCTCAACGCAAGTATGTGTTAGATGTGTAGACCGAAATGGGTCTAAGTGAGGCTATGCCTTGTGACACTCCTATGGTTCCTAATGTGAGATTGAATGCTGAGGATGGAGAGATGTTCGGTGATCCAGAGAGGTACAGATGGATAGTTGGAAAGTTAAACTACCTTACAGTAACCCGTCCAGATATTGCTTTTTCAGTGAGTGTGGTGAGTCAGTTTATGTCATCTCCTAGGACATCTCATTGGGATGCAGTCCTCCAATATTTTGAAGTATCTAAAAGGACCCCTGGATGTGGGATTCTTTAAAGTGATCATGGTCATAATAAGGTAGAAAGTTTTTCGATGCAGATTGGGCAGGATCCTCTGTGGATAGACGGTCTGTGACTGGGTTTGTGTTTTGTTGGAGAAAACTTATTTCTTGGAAAAGTAAGAAGCAACGGGTAGCTAGGTCAAGCGCAGAGTCTGAGTATCGGGCTATGGCACAAGTAAGTGTGAGCTCATATGGACAAGACATCTTCTTAGAGAAATTGGGTTGGTGACCCAGGGACTATGGACTTGTGGTGTGACAACCAAGCAGCCATACATATAGAAACAATCCAGTCTTTCACGAGAGGACTAAGCATATAGAAGTGGATTGTCACTTTGTACGAGAGAAACTTGAACAAAAGTTAATTGCTACTAATCAGTTAGAACAGGGGAACAACTAGCTGACATCTTCACGAAGTTCTAGTTGGTAAAAGGGTAACCTATATTTGTAACAAGTTGGGCATGATAGATATTATACTCCAGCTTGAGGGGAGTGTTAGAAACTAGTATTATATAGTGTAAAGGGTATATTTGTAATTGTTGAGTGTGTGTAGATATTTGACTTAGGTTGTACTGTTGAGACAAGTGAAATATAGAAGATAAACATTAAAATCAAAAGTCCACCCCTTACAAGGCCTGAAACAGTTAAACTGAAGTCAACTTGAGCCTGGAGTAGACAAGGATAAGTGGTTAAATACATGATGAACTAGGGAGTCTTCATTACAGATTTATGCTTTCACTAGGAAACTGGGATCGTGAACATTAATTAAGACATAATATGCCTAAAATTTTAAGTCACAGAGAAGCTTCTAACAATAACCAAGCGTACAAACCTGAAGCGGCAGGCTAGCTCCAGACCATTGTGTAAGATTTGTCTGCATCATATTAATCAAGATTTAGAAGTGTATTTAGCAAAGACACCTAAGCAGGAAAAAAAAAAAGGAAAAAAAAAAAAAAAAAAAAAAAAAAAGATACCATCATATAAAGTGGAGATCCTAATCAATGGAAGTGCGACCCAAACCATCACAATATTCTTGGTGGACAAAACACTTTTCATAGTTAAAACAAACCTTGTACTTGAGAGTAAACAAGCGAGCGTGAGGGAAGTCAGCTGAAAGCCATTCACCTGGCCAAAATGTGCCTTGCTTCCCAGCTTCCTGATCAATTTTCTCAACCAAGCCAGACTTTGTAGAGGATTTGTCCTCAGAAATGCGCCAAGTCTTATAAGGTCCACCACGCATGCCATGGACAAAGACAATATCTAGTTGGGGAACGTCTGATTTTGAACTGTTCTTTGATGCATTGACAAAACTTGACAAGTTACCATCATTTGAAGCTTCGGTTACAAGTGTATCCTCACTGTTAAGAGAACCAGACTTATCTCTCTGAACAACATCTTGATCTTTATGTTCAGGACACTTCCAGTGGGGCAGTTCAGGGTTGATTAAGAATATCTTATCATAATAACGAGGACAAGTTCTATTTTTGTTTGCAATATCTGTTCCAAGAGCATTACCATTGGCAGAGTCTCTGCCAACTTGGTGATTGCAAAATATATTTAACAGAGTGGCCCTAGCATAACTTTGCATTTTAAGGTCACTGCAACCTTGGATCTTTCCATTAGCACAATCCTCAAGCCATTTACACCAAGTTTCATCTGCTTTCACAGCATTCTGGACATCAGGACGGAGTGAAAGGACAGTTAAAAGCCGAGCTGCATGCCTTCGAATGTGAGCAGTTGGTGGAACTCGGACACTTGATGGATTATTTGCATCTAAAACAGATGCTTCACCAGGAACATCTGAAACCTTCTTATCTGCCTCTAGGGCTCTTGAAGCATCATAAGCTTCCATAGCAGCAAGTTTCTCATAATCGTCATGTAACAAAAAGCGTTTCAGCAAGCACAAGATCCCAAAATTGGCTAATTTGTTTTGACATACAGAATCTTCATCACAAAGTTCTGTCAGTGCTTTGATACCCTTAAGTGTTGCTACCGCAGAATCTGTGGCATCAACTTTAGGCAAACTATCTTTCTTTAGATTTTTAAGAGGCCCTGCAAAGGGTTCCAAAGAAAGAAGATCTGCCAGTGGAAATGTTTCAACAGACTCAGTGCCAGTGGTTGTTCCCAATTGCTTTCCAGCCAAATTAACAACAGCACCTGCTAATTGATTAACAGTCTGTGTGGCAAAAAGGACATTTGACTGATCAATCTGAGTCTGCAAAAGTCAAGAGAAAACTTAAATCACTAGTTGGAAATTGCGTAGATAACCCAAATTCAAGGTTTTTTTATTTTTTATTTTTTTATTATAAAGAAAGATTAGACTTGAAGCAATAAAACAGATTTCAGCATGAAGCATCATTTTAATGGTAAAAGTTCAACAATGAAAAGAGATATCCATACCTTCACTTTGTCACTTTTAGGTGGTGTGCCACGTTTAACTGAGGATTTCTTGCTGTAACCCAGGATTTCATTTAGCAAAATAGCTAACCATCCCTGAGAAATTGGTATGGATGATGGTCCATACTCTTCAAGAATGCATGATAGGATTCTTGTAGCTGAAGATCGGGTAGTGTCAGAAGAAGAGTTTCCAAAAACCCAAGGAATCAATATGCCAGACCATTTCTCACTTTCTTCAAGAGATAAATGCATGTCCCCAGTGGAAAGCAATTTCAAAGCCTTTGCCAAAGCTTCTTGAACCTCCTTATGCTTTAGTGTACGCTTAGCTGTGTCTCTCATCAGCTGAAGACCTTTTTCCATCACTACCTTTTGTGCAACAGGGCTTCTGTCTATAGAAACCAAAAAACCGGATAAAGCCACCAGAGCCAAAGGAATGTCTTCATTTTTACATGCCTGAGAAACAGTTGAAAGAAGACTGGAACTCCAATCAGAAACAGAATCATTTAACGGAAGATTACGATCCTCCAATAGCAACCGAGCCACCAAACTCCCATGCCATTTCACAGATCTCTCAGGTGCTGTTAAAGCACTCATGACAGCATACCCATCTTGATCCAATTCTTGAATACGAGATCTGTTGGTCCCTGATGCCATTGCCCAATTGGCTAATGCCCAAGCAGCAAAAGGCACCGCAACATGTTGACAATGCAAGTCATCCCACAGACCAGGAACAACAGCAGAAGACAAATTGGCTTGTGCTAATGAACTATCATGCTTATTTAGCAAGGCAAGGGTTTTAGGAGTATTTCTAACCGATTCTACTTCAACATCATCAGAATGTCCCAATCCCATAAACTCACTGGTCCTTGAAAGCCCTAAAACCGTTGTACCTTCAAGAATTTTAATACCTATACCCTTAATTCCTTTTCCACCATCATCATCATCATCATCATTCTTCTGTGGCTCATCAAAATGCATTCCACCTTCCTCAATAACTTCTATAGCTGCTGCAATATCCCTTGTTTCAGCATTTCCTGGTAGTGATGACTTAAATGATACCTTTTCTAAACTATCACAGTTGGATGTGACAACATCCATGATGGCAGCCACAAGCATGCTCCTACCTTTCAGAGAATCAGAAATATCGAATGAACTACGCCTTGAATGCTGCTCCCACAGAAAAGCTATATATCAATGGTAAAACACAACTCAGAAGCATCAACAATATCAGGAGTAAAGCATTCCATGACCATGCCCAGGATATCAATAATGACTGATAAATATCTCTTAGAAACCCCGCATGGTTTTCTGTAGGACCATATTTTAGTATTAGCACCAAAATTTAACTGCAGAAGCAATTCCAACTAGACATAAGCATATCAGCAAGTTTATTTTTCTACTCTGATTCTCAACTGGACAATACATACAAAACCTAAATTGCACTGTTAGCATGGCCCTAAAGAACTAAATCAACATGAATTGTCTTTCTAGAAAAAACGATATGAAATGTGGATTAATCATGTTGTGCCTTTTGTATTGGCTAGCCTGTGCTCCTTCATGAAAAAGGTAAATGGAACTCAGAAAAGCTAGATAATTTACAAGCTGCTAACAATGCAATGAAGTACCAGCAATGGACTATTTTAAGTAAAAATCTAATAATTTGCAATTTCAAAGAATCCACCCATCAATCTAGTTTAAACTTCACCAACTTTTTTTCTTCAAAAGTATCAAAACCGAACAAAAATAAATACAAACTGACCTTCTTGGACCTCGGCTGACACGAAAAAATAAACCTCAACAAATTCGGCACTGCACGAGGCCGCCCTAACACATCCTTAGACACATTAGGATCCGCAATCAAGTAAGCAAGTGCCCTTGCCGCCTCCGCCTGAGTCCCACACCCGTCCTTACCAACCGCCACCGTCTCCAACAACCAATCAACCACTTTCCCTCCTCCCGCACCCACAATCGCCGCCCTCCGCTCCTCATTTGCCGCCGAAATATCAGCTAGCAGTGCCGCCACCCTCAACTCGAATCCCGCCCTCACCTCGTGATTCGCACTCGATAAAACCGAACTCAGAGATTGCCACAAAATGGAAGCCGCGACACCCGTGTGCTTTACATGGTCAATAATTCTTCTAAATGATTCGTTTGACTTATGAAATGTACTTTCAATTGCTTCGTAAATTGGATTAGTATTTCTCTTACTGTTATCATTAGGGTTGTCGTTGGGGAAAAGAGCGACGGAGGCAATCAGCGCGGAGAGGACGGTAGCGGAGAGGGCAAAAATAGAAGTTCGAGAGAGTGAGGAAGCATTAGCGTTGGAGAGAGGAGAAAGATAATTCTGAATAATTTGTGGTGAGCGTGGTGGTGGTGGGTGTAGTTGAGGGGTATGTTGGGGATTTTTTAGATTATTTGCAGGTTCGATGTTGTTATTAGAGGAAGAAGAGATGTGGCGACGGAGAGGTAACCGATAGTAACGGCGGTGTATCATACAGAGACGGAGCATTCTTTATGTCGGTAGAAATTGATGAAACGAGGGTGTTTGATATTTTGGTTTCGTGTTGGGTTCAAGTAAAAGATTGCAAGGAGACTATGGCGGGAGGAAATTTCGCGATTTGTACGGGAGGTAAGAATTTTCATAGACCGTTAAGGACTGTCTACCAAATAGAATTTTCTGGGAGAAGATGCGAACCTTCCAAGACATTTTTTTTTTTTTTTTTTTTTTTTTTTTTTTAAATTTAGCCGAAACTTAGTAGTACTTTATTGGGCTCTTACGGCCCATACGAGGCGGCTCCTTTCAAGGAAGTTTTTTTCACTAACCATGGGCTTCGTCCTAGACCATAGGATCCGCAATCAAGTAACAAGTGCCCTTGCCGCCTCCGCCTGAGTCCCACACCCGTCCTTACCAACCGCCACCGTCTCCAACAACCAATCACCACTTTCCCTCCTCCCGCACCCACAATCGCCGCCCTCCGCTCCTCTTTGCCGCCGAAATATCAGCTAGCAGTGCCGCCACCCTCAACTCGAATCCCGCCCCTCCCCGTGATTCGCACTCGATAAAACCGAACTCAGAGATGCCAAAAATGGAGCCGCGACACCCGTGTTGCTTACATGGTCATAATTCTTCTAAATGATTCGTTTGACTTATGAAATTACTTTCATGCTTCGTAATTGGATAGTATTTCTCTTACTGTTATCATTAGGGTTGTCGTTGGGGAAAAGAGCGACGGAGGCGATCAGCGCGGAGAGGACGTAGCGGAGAGGGCAAAATAGAAGTTCGAGAGAGTGAGGAAGCATTAGCGTTGGAGAGAGGAGAAAGATAATTCTGAATAATTTGTGTGAGCGTGGTGGTGGTGGTGTAGTTGAGGGTATGTTGGGGATTTTTTAGATTATTAGGAGGTTCGATGTTGTTATTAGAGGAAGAAGAGATGTGGCGACGGAGATGTAACCGATAGTAACGGCGGTGTATCATACAGAGACGGAGCATTCTTTATGTCGGTAGAAATTGATGAAACGAGGGTGCTTGATATTCTGGTTTCGTGTTGGGTTCAAGTAAAAGATTGCAAGGAGACTATGGCGGGAGGAAATTTCGCGATTTGTACGGGAGGTAAGAATTTTCACAGACCGTTAAGGACCGTCTACCAAATAGAATTTTCTCGGAGAAGATGCGAACCTTCCAAGACAATTTTTTTTTTTTTTTTTTTTTAAAATTTAGCCGAAACTTAATTAATACTTTTTTGGGCTCTTAGGCCCATACAAGGTGGCTCCTTTCAAGGAACAGTATTTTGCTTCACTAACCATGGGCTTCGTACCTTGTTCGACTCCTATATCTTCAAGTTTGCCTAATTCCACTGTTGTATTTGTTGCATACTAATTAGCTACTTAATGGTTAATTATAATAAAATACATTTTTAATAGATATATTAATATTATCCCATATATATCTTTTAAGATACACAATTAAAACTATCTTTAACTCATCAAATCTTAATCCTCAAAATCTCCGTGAATCATAAATCATAAGTTCATATATTGACAAACGTATCTAAATTAGGCAAAAATCCTAACAACAAATGTTTGCTTTGAAGCATCCCCTAACATAAGTGCACCCTTGATCTTGAACATTGTAATTGAACTTGTTGCCAGTTGTATTTGGATTGATTAATTGAGAAATGCCGATTTGGTTGTTTAAGTGATAAAAAAAAATGAGCTCATTTACTTGTTGAGCAAGCTAACGTTCATGTCATGCAACATGAATTAATGGTTGCTTTTATTGTTTTGCAATGGAGGCATGATGCAACAAGTATCAATAGGAGATACAATAAGAAGAGCATGTAAGTAACTTAATTTTCATAAGAAGAAACATTATAAAAAACAATATCACCTTCCTGTTTTCAGTTATACTATACATAAAATATGGTTAGTTATGGATATCAAAATTGCAACTAACTTACATGTTTCTAGAAGCGATTAGAAAGGATGTTCACACAAGCTGTATATGCAGTCGTCTTTTATTCGTATACCTCTTAATCAGTTGAACAGCAAATGCATCCTATAAATAGCTTGTTGATTGATCAAAATGTTCCATCAAATTAACTTCAGATTTTAGTGTATCTTCTTCACCTTGAGTAGTTGTTCCTTATTACTAGATTTATTAGCTATATTTTCTTTACAAGTTTTGAGATGCACAGAATACCATCTTCCCTTCTTCCCATCCAGGCCCCAACTTATGGGAATTTGATCACTATTCCTCAGGTGATCGCTGGTGGGTGTAGAGGATTATCCCTGCTACTATAATTGTTCCTTGAATCACAACTTCAGGTTTTGTTGAATCAGCGGTATCCATGAATATCCATACAACACTCTCTGTCAACACTTTTTATACGTGATCACTTTCGTACTTATATATTGACCTATTTTTTACTCATAATAGGCTATTTATTTGCCATCATAAAATATGCTAGGGTTAGTTTCTCAGAGATCAACTACTTAATGATCAAGCATTCATGTAACTGTACAGAAAGATTAATCTCAATTAAAATACTAGATAGGAATTATATATGGACCTTAACCATGCTATGTCGGAGTGTGCATATATACATTTTGTGACTGTATGAGATCGATTCAAACTTAGAGAACACTAACTACAATTGGGCATAAATTCTGTGAACGCAGGCTTGGATGGCGAAGATGCCAGACTTGCAGACTACTTTGTTTTGATTGCAGGGACCAGCACCGGTGGCCTTATAACTGCCATGCTGACAGCTCCAAATGAAAATAATCGACCTCTATTTGCTCCAAGGATACAAACAATTTTATCTCGACCACTGCCCAAAAATCTTCCCCCAAGAGAGGTAATCTTGTAACTGTAGTTTCTTTCTTCTTTTTTGTTATACTTCACATAAATAATGAAAATATTGCCATGCTAACACTTAACTTAGTCTATAAGTATATTATTTGCATTCTAGATTACTAGTCTTGTTTAATTGCAGGGGTAATGGGGGTCAATTAGAAAGATGTTGAGTCATTTACAGGACCCAAATATGACGGAAATACTTCACTGGTTGGTAAGGATAAACTAGGAAAACTAAATTGCATAACACCCTGAGCCATGTTGTGATTCCAACTTTTGATATCAAGCGTTTGCAGCCACCCATTTTCTCTACTTATGAGGTATATATCCTCTTTACCCACTCTCTCTAAGCTTCTTCAGTTCAGCGTTCTATAATTAATGATGAAAGTTTGAATTCCATTTCGGAAAGTTTTGGTTAGAAATCTACTTATATTACAGTTAAAAGATCTCCGTATTTGGATGCTTCGCTGGCTGACAATGCATCAGCACTTCAGCAGCCCCAACATACCTTCCTTCTCACTATTTGAGAACAAAGATCATGAAACCTTCGAGATTTTCATCTTGATGTGGTGTGCTGCAAACAATCCGGTATGTTGCATGGTAATTTCTGTGGAAGTACTTTGTGAAATAAACAAAAAAAATAAATTATTATAACCCACAGCTAAGTTTTAATTGTTGGCACAAAATTACGGCTTTAGTAGCATAACCCAGTGACCCAAAAATATTTGATGAAAATCCTGATTTCTTCCCAATTAACCATGGACTATGGCCGCTTCTAGTGATCTCAATAGGCACTGGCTCACCAACGATAGAGCACAAATACAACCCGAAGCAGCCAATGGGTACATTGGGTTGGTTACTTCATGGTGGTTCTGTTCCTTGGTGGATGTGTTCACTCAGCAAGCGCTATGGTTGATTTCCATTTCTGTGGTGTTCCGAGCACTTCATTCTGAAAAACTATCTCAGAATTCAAGTACGTTTATATATATATAAATCCCAGCTAATTTGATTCCTTTCTTTAATTATATTAGCTTTTGAATCTACTGAGATGCTTATCACTAAACTTTTTACTTGACACTATATCAGGATGATCAATGAATGAAAAGATTCTTCAGTCGACATTGCCACAAAGGAAAACTTGGACAAGCTTGTGCAAATAGTGAAAGGCTATTGAAGAAACCGGTTTCTAGGGTGAATTTAAGACGGATTGTCTGAACCAATTGAAAATGGTGGAACTACCGCGGAGGCTCTGAGAAAGTTGATCAGAAAAGAACTACATCTTTTAGTCAGCTGCATATAATTTGGGTTGATTAATTTCTTCATATTATTTTGTTTTTCAATGTATTACCATACTAACAAATTATATTCTACAGATTTGCAAAACTACTTTCTGAGAGAGGAGACTCCGAGAGACCAAATCACCAAAAACCAACAAGGAATTTGTAACTTGATTTGTTGCAGATAAAATCATATACATATAATTGAGCAACTGCACGCTAGAGGAGAAAGCATATCAAGATTCGATTAATTATTCAGTAGTCTCCTATACATAAAGTAGAAATCACAATATGTAATTCTTTATTTCTATATAAAATAATCAACATTAATATTATTTTCGAACATTGACTTCTATAAGCGTATAATTGAGCAGGTTTTTGTTGTGTTATCAGATTCCTACTGTAAACTTGATAGGTAATTTGAATAATAGGACTTATAATTTAGAATAATAGTATTATATAATTGTGACATAAAATTGAAAAATTTAATTAAAATACCATTTCAAGTTTGAAAGTAATTAAATAACCATGAAGCTTGAAACTCTTTACTAAATGACAATTCATTTAAACAATATAAACGATGTAAACTTATTTATAAACTTATCTCTTAAGTGATATGTTTAAACGATGAAAATTCATGGTTATTTAATTAATTTAAAAATAATCCACATCGCATAAAAATGCATAAAGTTGCACGAATTGCAGGAATAGATTTTGATGCTTAAAATACTTCAAACTAATTTTACTTAAAAAAAATCAATGAATATTAAAACTGGAAAGAATATAAGTATGAGCCTTAGTAAGTGGTGACCACAGAATTGTAAAAGATGACATTAGAATCGACGTCATGCATGCTTTCAAACTTCATTGGTTGTGCTTTGGAAAATTAATCCTTGACTTGACAATTCTATTTTGCATTTCCAATGAAAGTAAAATAAAACCAAAAAGATAATAAATGATAATAATTTGGATATCAAATTCTTACAGCAGAAATATTTGACAAGTACCGGCCATCCAGGTTAGAACTTCGTCTTACATTCTTAATCATGGTTAAAAGGGAAAAGTTAAAAAGTGAATAAA